CAGGCTCCCCGCCGAGCAGGGAGCCCGATGCGGGACTCGATCCTGGGACTCCAGGATCATGACCTGAGCCGAAGGCAGTCGCCCAACCAACTGAGCCACCCAGGCGCCCGTATCCATGTAATTTTCGATTTCCTCTTTGATTTCTTGGTTGACCCAATCACTGTTCCATAGCATGTTATTTAGCCTCCATGTATTTGTGTTCTTTCCAGATTTTTTCTTGTGATTTCTTATGTTGTGGTTAGAAAAGATGCATGATATGATATTAATCTTTTGGAATTCATTGAGACTTATTTTGTTGCCTAACATGTGATCTATTCTAGAAAATGTTTCATGTATACTTGAAAATGTGCACTTCTGCTGTTTCTGGTTGGAATGTTCTGGATATATTTGTTAGATCCATCTGGTCCAATGTGTAATTTAGAGCTGCTGTTTCCTTGTTGATTTCTGTCTGGATGACCTATCCATCGAGGTATGGGGTGTTAAAGTCCCCTACTATTATTGTATTACTGTCACTTTCTTCCTTTATGTCTATTAATAGTTGCTTTATGTATTTAAGTTCTTCTGTGTTGGGTGCATAAGTATTTACAATTGTTATATTCTCTTGTTGAATTAATTGTTCCCTTTATCATTATGTAGTGTCCTTCTTTGTCTCTTGTTTTAAAGTCTATTTTGTCTGATAGAAGTACTGCTACCTCTTTTTTCTTTTTGCTCCAATTTGCATGGTATAAATTTTCTCAGCCCTTCACTTTCAATCTGCATGTGTCCTTAGGTCTGAAGTGAGTCTCTTGTAGGCAGCATATAGATGGTTCTTGTTTTTTTCTCAATCCTTTTGATTGGAACATTTAGTCCATTCACATTTAAAGTAACTATTGAGGGGTATGTGCTTATTGGCACTTGGTTAATTGTTTTCTGGTTGTCTTTGAAGTTCTTCTCTATTCCTTTCTTCTCTTGTGGTTTGATGGGTTTTTTAGTGTTATGCTTGGATTTCTTGCTCTCTATTTTTTGTTTATCTATTGTAAGTTTTTTGACTTGACAAGATGCCATGTTTTTAAAAATAACTTATAAGGCACTATAAAATAGTATAAAGGTTACTGTGCCCATGGATTCTGTGTTTCTAAGTATAAAAATAGTTGTCAGAATTTGTGTTAATTTATTTGAAGTTTAAAATGCAATCATTGTGATGATTATTTCAGAATTTGGTTTATTCCTATTAACATTCTATTTTTAAGGATATTCCAGTTTTTTGGATACATTTCCATTTTAAATGATACACATTTAGCAACAATGTTGTGCTCTGACCTTCTTGAGTGTTACTCTTGAGTGGTCTTGCTTTTAATCTCTAGTCAAGCCTTGATCACAACATTCCATAAAACTCTCACCAAGGTCACTAGGATCTCTACATGGCCATATATGTTTTGCAATCTCAGGCTTCATCTTTCTGAATTTTTCAGAAGCATTTTACCCAGGAGAGCAATTCTTCTCTTAGCTTCTGAATTTCTTCCTTGTCTCCCTTCATTTCTTTGGCCAGACTCCCTTTCTTTCTTGAGTTCCAAATGCTCAGGCATCATAGGGCTCAATTCTGAAACATCTTTATCAACATTCAGTGATCTCAGCCAGTATATATATAAAGGCCATTTATATACTGATGATTCCTTGGAGTTAAATCTCCATCTCTACCCTTTCTCTTAACATAAGACCTACTTGACAACTCTTTTTGGAAATAAGAGTCTCATAAAATTAAACACATTTAAACCAGAATCTGTAATTTTTTTTTCACTAACATCCACTCTTTTTTCGAGTTTCTCATCTATGTGAATGACATGTTATTCGCTCAGTTTCTTGGGTGAAAAACTCTGGAATTATCTTTGATTCCTTTCTTTTCTTAGTTCACACTGAATTCATTTTCAAATTCCATCATACATCCATACAAAATATATGTTAAAAAGTCCCTTTTCAATTTCACTGTGATTGCTCCAGTCAAAAGCAACTTAATTGTCTGAGGTGCCTGGGTGTCTCGGTTAGTGTCCAACTCATGATTTCAGCTCAGGTTGTGATCTTATGGGCTGTGGGACTGAGCCCTGCATCAGGCTCTGTGCTCAGCAGGGAGTTTGCTTGAGATTCTCTCCCTCTGCCTTAGCCCCTCCCCCCCAACTCACTTGTTCTCTCTCTCTCCCTCTCTCTAAAATAAATAAATAAATTAATTTAAAAAAAAGTTCATTGTCACCTAGGTTGGAACAACTGCCTTTCTTTGTTCTCCCTGAGATCTAGTCTAGAGTCTATTCTCGACCCTCTAGACTAAGAGTCTTTTAAAATATAAGTCAGATACTGACTTGACTCTTCCTGTTCAAAATTTTCTAATGCCTTCTCCTCATACTTGGGATAAAATCCAGATTCCTTTCTGTGCTTCACAAAACCCCATATAATCTGGTCCTTGTCTTGGTGTTCTTTCCACCATTTTCCTACCACTCTCTCCGTTGTTCACTGTTATCTCACCCAAATCACTCCCTTCATGTTCTTTGAACAAGGCCAGCATGCTGTTACTTTAGAGACTTTGAGTTTGCTGTTCTCTCTGCCTCTTTCACATTCAGTCATGTTTCAATTCAAATGTCACAACCTCGAAAAAGGTGACTTTTCATACCTTTATAAATAGCACACTCTTTCACTCTCTACCTTCTTATTCAGGTTTATTTTTCTACACAGTATTTATCATAATTGAAATTATATCCCACATTTATTTGTTAGTTAGTTTGTTATTTGCCTTCACTAATTCAATATGAAATTCATGAGGACAGAGACTTCACTTTGCTCATTGTTTTATCCTTAGCATCTAGCTTAGTGTCTGGTAGGTACTTAGTGAGTCTTCAATAAATGTTTGTTGACTTAATGAATGAATTATTTATATTTACAAGGAGAAGAATTGTGCACAAATATAAATCTTAGGTGATGTTTGGACCTCCAAGAGAGCTTTTATTACAAGTGAGTTGCAGTGGGAATGTGAATGTCATGCAGAAAAAAAAAAAAAAAAAGAGTGTGGCTGGCTGTGTGAGAGAAGCACCACTCTGAGATGTGGGAGTCTGGATCCCTCACTCTTCTGTTTACCAGGATACACTTTGTGACCTTTCTAACAGTATGCACACCAGATGTTTTTATTCAGAATTCTAGGTTAGTCTACACTTATGTAGCTCTTTTAGGTTAGGCTCCCTAGAAGCAGAGATTGAGACAGAGATTTCAGTGCATGTGATTTATTTTGAGAGCGCTTGCAGGTAAACCTGTAAAGAACGGAGGAGAGAAGAAGGAAGGAGAGGGAGATGAGAAGGATTGTGGTCTCAGTAATTAATTCAGCCTTGTCCTGATGCACACAGCAAAGGCTCTACATCATAAAACGTACCATGAAGTTTTCTTCTTTAGTCAAGTGACAAGTGTCAGTCAGTCATTGGCTTTGGGTTGCCTGATTGTGGGAAGGGAATTTTTCAGGTAAAGCAGCACCCCTCAGTGAAGGACAGTTCTCCAAAGCGGAATCTGAGAACCATAAGCAGCCAACACTGTGGAAGCTGGGAAAGTGCACTGGTCCCCTGAAGGGGAGCAGGGTAGGCTACCCCAATGTCTTCCACAGTGGTATTAAAAGGGACTGATTATGAAGCATAGATACTCATTCATTCAAAAAATATTTATTGTAGCTCTCATGAGCCAAGTACTACCAGTTGCTGAGATTCATTGGTGAATAGATATAGTCCTGCAGCATGGATAGGGAGATGAGAAGATATTAATCAAATAAACATGTAATCATGATAAGACACATACTGAATTATGACCACCAAATAATAAATCAAAGCAATATTATAGAAACAAATCCATGATATCGTATAGATAATGGTTTCTTAGACATGGTCCTGCTGTAACTTTAAGATTTTGTGAATTCTTTATCATAGAAATCATTATCTAATGCTAGCAGTCTATTAATCAAATATTTCTCAGGCTTATTTGAAAACTCAAATAGAATTAAAAAAATGTGTTTTCAGTCTGAAACCATGGTGGTGTACAAGTCTTATACTTGGTCACTATTTAAGTTTAAAGGGAACTAAGGTCTTGGGTACGATGCTAATTACTTTTTGTCTTTTAGAAATTATCTCCCAAAATCCTATCACTTACTGGCCAACACAAAAAGTAGGGATCTTCAATTTGTGGAATATTCAAGTTCATAGACTAGGTATGATCCTCTCGTTCATGTGGAGGCTAAAATTTCACTGAAGTCTTTGCAATGTTATGAAATTTTCACCATTATAAGGCTGACATGACCGTGTTTGAAAATAGCAAAATTTAAAGGACAAAAAGTCATTTAAATAAATAGGTATAGATCATCAAGTCCAAGCAAATTTTGAGAAGTCAGTATAGGAGTTAAGATCTGCCAAGAGAGTATAATAGGAAAACTTGTTTCATACATTAAATTATTAGAAGGAAATACACAAAAACATTTTTCCACAAAAACATTTTTAGGGGCACCTGGGTGGCTCAGTCGTTAAGCTTCTGCCTTCGGCTCAGGTCATGATCCTAGAGTCCTGGGATTGAGCCCCACATTGGGCTCCCTGCTCAGCTGGAAGCCTGCTTCTCCCTCTCCCGCTCCCCCTGCTTGTGTTCCCTCTCTCACTGTATCTCTCTCTGTCAAATAAATAAATAAAATCTTTAAAAAACAAAACAAAACATTTTTAACCACCAGAAAAATGGATATCAGTAAATATCCACCTGTAACTCCTGATTTTTATCTAAAGGTCTATTTTCATGTCCTTAAAAAAATTCTTTACATGGTACCATGGAAGCTACTGTACTAAAAAAATAAGCCAGCTAATGAACATGTCAGTAAAATAGTATATTTTTCTTTCTTTGCCACAGAACAAAAATTTCAAAAGAATATAATTCTGTTGAAGTGTCACCAAACCATTTCTTTAGGAGAATGTAGTGGCAGCAGAAATAACAAGGCTTATTTTCAATAATTCTATTCATACCTCAAATCCCTGTGGTCTTCCTAGACTCTCTTTAATATGTTTCCATGCAACAAGAATCTCTGACACAGACACACTTGTAGCCTTGACATCTGTGGGAGCAGCACTGGGTTCTGTATAAAGGAAAAGGGAAATAATAAACTGTGATGGTAGCAAGTTATGTCTATCAAAGCATTGCACCTGAATCTGTCCGGTGTTACCTCCTTCTACCTTATTTTTGAAATGAAGTGCTATGGTAGCTATGAAAAACACAACAAGATAAAAAGATGATCTTTTTGGATATCTATACCTGGGTCAAATCTCATCAATACTTTACCAATGACAAATGACAAATTTAGCAAGACAAGCAAAGATATTTATTCTTGGATTAACCAGGACATTTCTGGAGAAGTTAAATTGTCTGACTTAAACTGTCTGCCAGTCTAACATAATGATCAAAAGCATGGACTAGAAAATCAGCCTTGGCTATTTTGATGCTGTTTTTTGCCTTCAAAAAATTTATTTATTTACCTTTAGGCAAGTTGCTTTGCCTTTTCCTATGCTCCAGTTCCCTCATCTGTAATATGGGCATAATAAGAGTACTTATCTCAGAGGTTTTTAAGGTTAGTTTTAGCTGGAATAAGAGATACAAAATATTTAGCACAGTGCTTGGCACTTAAAACATTCATTCACAAAATATCACTTATTATTATTTTATTTTATTTTTTACTTCTTGTAGGCATAAATAGAGTAAAAATTTCATTAGTTTTTGTTGTTGTTGTTGTTCTAACTACAAAACTACATTTCCATGTAGAATATGACATGAATCATTATATTTAAAAGGCATGCATTGACTTTTAAGACAGGTATGGACTGAAAAGGAGAGTCCCTGAAGGTCTTAGTCCTATTGCTCAAAAAGTGTATTTTCATTTGTTCCTACACTTAGTGACCTTTCTCACTATTTTTTCCAAATACACCATGGCTGACTGGCATCCTTCAAGATGTACACTTTATTTGAGGTTGCACTGTATGTGAGGAACAACATACTTTCAGCTTTGACATTGCTGAATCATAAATACTATGTCACAAACACACGTTAAATGAAATGGCAGAATAAAGGCCATACTTTAGTTCAAACAGTTCTGTACAAAGTCAATTTAAAAAATCTACCACATAAAAATTGTAGAGACTTTAATACTAACCCCATATCACTGGTAAGACATCAGATTAATCTATTGAAAATGTTTTTGTTTGTTTTTTAAGATTCAGGGAGCCATATGTCAAAGCCAAGAGTTGTATGTAACATATTTAAAAAGCATTATTAGAGATATTAAAGGAATTATAACCATTTTCTGAGATCTTCCTTTTTTCTAATGAAAGGTAGTCACACATCTACCTGGAGAAACTTCATATATTACTAAGTGAAAATTATCAATGAAAAACATCTACCCTTGTTACTGTAAAAGAAACCCAGGAAAAACTTTTCCAACGGTACATATTTGTACCAAGCAATGATTTTCTTTTGATAAAACTCAAAATCACATGCTATAATTGTGTTAATTCTAAGTGCTTTAGTAAATTCACATTAATCTTTACATAGGAGCTGACATTAATTCCAGCCATGGTATAAAGTATAATTTCTCATTCTGTCACCTTTTGAATATATTTTTTTTCAATTTTTGAATAGCATTTTCTTTTTTTTATTATTATTATGTTCAATTAGCCAGCATATAGTACATCATTAGTTCTTGATGTAGTGTTCAATGATTCATTAGTTGCGTATAACACCCAGTGCTCATCACCACAGTGCCCTCCTTAATATCCATCCCTCAGTTACCCCATCCACCAGCCCCCCTCCCTTCTGTAACCCTCAGTTTGGTTCCTGGAGTCCAGAGTCTCTCATGGTTTGTCTCCATCTCTGATTTCTTCCCATTCAGTTTTCCCTCCATCCCCTGTGGTCCTCCATGCTATTCCTTATGTTCCACATATGAGTGAAACCATATGATAATTGTCTTTCTCTGCTTGACTTATTTCACTTAGCATAACCTTTTGAATATTTTTTATTATTTTCTTTTGCTCAATGGTTTCCCTCACTCTACTTTCCAGCTTACTATTATCTGGCATCTATGTGATTTAAAAAAAAAAAAATTCTGGGGAAAGCTTCTATTTCAGTCTAGAATTCTGATCATTAGACTTGCAACAAGACTTTTTTCATTGCTACTTAATAGGAGTTAAAATTCTTGATTTTGCAAGTAAATGAAAGGAAATGCTGATGTTCTTAAAGTATGTACAACCTGATCTCCAGGATTTAAAGTATGATTTATTTCAAAGACAGCCACACTTTGGGTATCATTTGTTATTCACAAGCAGTTTTGCTTATCTACTTAAATGAATGCATTGCAGAGATTTGTGTGTCGCATACCTTCTTTCAGCTTTTTTATTATTGAAGCAATTACATCTTTGTCAAAGAAGATTGCAGGGAGATAAATAATTTTAGAAGCACAAAACAGTGGTTGGGTAGAAGTCCTTCTATCCCTCTTTATCTCTAGAGAAAGGAATAATTTCTCTTTCAGCTTTCTGTAGCACTGCACAACCTTAAGTACTACTCAAATAGAAGTAAGAAAGTTTTAAAAAATAAAGAAAAGTTTTTGGGGCGCCTGGTTGGCTCAGTCATTAAGTATCTGCCTTTGGCTCAGGTCATGATCCCAGGGTCCTGGGATCAAGCCCCGCATCGGGCTCCCTGCTTGGCGGGAAGCCTGCTTCTCCCTCTCCCACTTACCCTGCTTGTGTTCTCTCTCTGGCTGTCTCTCCCTGTCAAATAAATAAATAAAATCTTAAAAAATAATAATAATAAAAATAAAGAAAGAAAGAAACGTTTTTTTAAAAAAGAAAAAATATTCAGAAACCTATTTCCTAAACATGCACCCGGAATTTCTATTTAAAAGCTCTGAGGATTTTAAATCAGGATCAGACCCAAACAGACATTTCACAGATGCATTCTTAGGGGCTAACTGAATGAAGGTAGATGAATCAAACAAGAACTGAAGAGTCATTTTTATTTGTTTCACCTTCTGGATGTAAATAGTATCAGAAGTAAACCCAGGTTGATCTAAATTAGAAATTTCAGCATGTAAAAAAAGTGATCTCAGTCAGTTTACTTCCGGAAGTTTCAGCATGTATTGTTATAGCCATGGATTGAAACGTTTTTTTTTTTGTAAGCAAAAGTAACTGTCTAGATCACAGAATTGTAGTTTGGATTGGAACTAGCTGTTCTGTTTGGGTATCCCATTGTAACTGAGTAATGGAAGGTAACTAAAAAGAATTTTAAAAAGTCACTTGAATCAAAGGTCATAAATGGATGGTCAGTGGGTGTTTAGTCATGTTTTGTATGACCCAATAATGAATTAATTTATTTTAACATTTCATATAAAAATAAGAATTTCTGACTTATTTAGGAAAAAATTGGTGATACAAAGCCTGAATTCGTGGGTGTTGCTAGTTGAGAATTAGCAGTTGGTCCCATTAGGGCATATTCTTTTAGGTTTGCCAGAGTCCCTACCACTACCTATTATCTCACACTGGGACTACTTCACTTATTTATATCTCTTACCTGACCTCTATAGGCTTTTGAGTTATGGACGTATGTTTTAGATCCATGGTCACATCATGTTCTCATTTTGCAGATGAAAATGTGACATGTACACAGGTTGATATATCCAAACTCTGCTTCTGGCTCTGAAAGAACCCCAACTAGAACTCAGGTCTCAAATACTCTTTCCTCTGTGTTTTTACATGGGTACCAAGGCAGCATATTTCTTAGAATCAGTTTTGAGACCCAGAAGAGATTTTGGAGGGAACATAGAGTTCATTTTCTTGCTGTTCAATTACTTCCAAATAACTGACAGAGGAACAGATTGGAATACAATTGGAAACAAACAACAACAAACAGATGAGGGGAACAACCAATGGTGATAATAATTACCATTTATTGAGGATTTGATATGTGCCTAGCGTTATTCAAAATTCTTTACATGAATTCATTAATCCTTCAAGAACCCTATTATTAATCACTATTTCTGCCGATAAATTGAAAGGCAGAGTCAAGCAACTTGCCCAAAGTCACACAGCTGCTAGAAGGTGGAGAGAGGATTTCAACAAGGCAATCAGGTCCTAAGTACCATGCTGCTCCACTTCTGTGCACACATCTATGTTTACACACCTAATGCTTTTCCTTGTGCTCCTGCTTTCTTTTCTTCTTGCCCTACCACACCTAACTTCTCTCAAGAATATTGATGTTGGGGTACCTACTTGGGCTCTCTAAGTCTTGTCAGAAGCCACCTAAACCCCTGTCATCTCCTATTTAACTCTACTTACTATCAGCTCCTTTTATTCCTGTTTCATGGTATTTTTAATAATGTTGAATCACAGCTGCACTGCTTCTCATAGATCCTGTATATTCAGGTATTTCTAAAACTCTCCTGATCTGTAAATCATAGGGTGTTTCCTGCCACTCTCACTTCTGTTATACTCAGGTAATTTTGATGAAAATTCAGGGACTTATTTCAGAGACTGTACTAGTGGTATGTCTAATAGATTCAAAGACTTAATAAAGATTTCTTTTTTTTTCTTTTACATATGATGATATTAATTAGGCCATGGCTAACTCCTTCACTCCAGTCTTGGGATATAAAGTGGACAAGCTGATTGATAGATTTCAGTTTCTGTCAGATTAAAAATTTTGAACAGCATTACCATGTTCATGAATTAAGATGATACATTTATATTAAGTGACTTAGCAGCTGGAGTTCTCCAAGTAATATGGGGGGATGTGCTTGTAATATTGATTATACATCTGACTTCCCAGGAGGGGTGGGCAACAGCATTAATCAAAGGAGAGTTTAATAAACTCCTTGGGAGAAAGGGTTATGGCTTCATTATTTAAAAATTCAGTGAAGACAGCTGTAGTTGAACTTTTACAGGCATTAATCCAAACGGATCATCTGGCAAAGACAGGAAATTATTCCTTGTATTTTACAACTAATATGCCAATTTATTAATTTTCAAGTTCACATAAATCCCACTGAGTTCAGTTTCAGCTAGGAATTGATCTGGAGAATAACACCTCATGAATGTTGGGTTTTAATTTGAGCTGTAGTAGCTCCATTTGTGAGGAGATAATTGCATATCATTTTCTGCAAATGAGGAGAGACTTCTTGATTTTAATAAAAATAAAAGCAGCATAATTTTTACATACAAGGCAAAAGCCAAGTAAACTAGAGAAAGCTAAGGCTTATCACAAATGAATAAATCTTTCAAACTATAATTAATCTATATCGAATTTCCCTCTATTTTTCTATTATATGTAATTGAATGCTCAGGTTCTTTTCCTTTCAAAACTATAGTAACAAGAACTAAGTGGAAAAGGATATAAGTTTGACTAATAGAAATGAAAGCCAATTGGATTTTTCATATTTAAAAAAATCTACCATGCATTATAAATCACTGTTACAACTTTGCTATCATTTAAAAAAATTAGAATTGTTTCAGAATGAGAGTATTGTATAGGATTATAGCATACCGTAGAGATTTGAAGTCAAATCAAGATGAGAATGCATATAATTCTTGCCTGGTTTAAAATGTATAGATAATTGATACATGTGCAAGGTGCATGGAAGGGTTATCTAGAGTCATTCAGGGTTACTTCTGTTGTGGAAATCTTGAAAGGTTTCCAAAGCTCAAGAGCATTAGCAGAAGAATAATTTTGGAGCTTTTCTGAAAATATTCTAGGGCAGCTGTCCACTTCAGAGTCACAAGAGTCAAGGTCATTTCCCAAGTGATTTATCAAGTATCAATATTATAAATGAGTTATTTTACTAAAAGATCACTTTCAAAATTTTCCCTATAATAATGTAATTCTCACTCTCATCCCAATTGACTTTCTTGAGAGGAAAAGAAAGGGATGGAAGGTATAAGGAATCACATAACCAAATATAGAAGTGTGCTCTGAATGTGAATGTCATCCATCATCGATCTACCACTGGGAAATGGGTTGAGAACTAGTTTTGTAAGGTTTGTCTTGAAGTCCTTGCTTTTTTCCAAACAACATGAGCTCTGGCGGCACATGTCTTCTTCCTGACTTGGTGTTAGCTGTGAAAAGATGGCTTCTCCATGGTACTCCAGGCAGCTAGCTCGTCATGTAGATATGAAGAGGAAGAAATATGCCCGTGAACAGAGACAGAATGCCAGCCCCAGTACTCTTGTTCTTTATTTTGTCAAAGAATATGGTGGGTTTTTGAGGTGATAAACAAGTGGACTAGGTTAATGGAAGAACAAAGGTGCAGAATTTGTCTTATGGAGAAATATGTCTCAATCAGATCAGTTGGGCTTCGGGCAAGAGTATGACAACAAAGGCACACTTGGAATCTGTATGAATGTCTTCAGACATAGAGGAGTGGAACTGGCACTGACATGACTACAATATATTATTTTACCAGTTCATTACAGTCCTTGACTCTTTTAAAAAATGTTTTAATATTCAAAATGTTCACTTCTTTTAAAGTAAAGCAATTTTCCTATCTAGGAAAATTAAAATTTAGAGTGTTTAAAATTATAGAATAAATTGATAAACTTTCAGATTCAGATTTTTAATGGCTTCTAGAGATGTTCTAGTTCAGGACTTTCATTTTTAAAGTGGAGGAAGATATGGTTCGGAGAGGTGGATAAATTGCAAAATTTTAGTCAGTGTGAGCAGATTGAAACTCTGTCCATTTCAGGCAAATGCTCTTCCTTTCCATTGTCTTACCTTTCCTAGTTACACAATTTAATGATGCTAAAACTTTACTCTTATTTACACATAAAGTTCCAAATTAGTCAATTTAACTAGTGAGCAAATGCCAAATATATGTTTTAATTTTGTTGTCAGAACAAAAGCAGGGGTGCCTGGGTGGCTCAGTCAGTTAAGCATCTGCCTTTGGCTCAGGTCATGATCTTGGGGTCCTGGGATCCAGGCCCATGTTGGGCTCCTTGCTCTGCAGGGACTCTGCTTCTCCCTCTCCCTCTCCTCCCACTCCTGCTCTCTCCCTTTCTCCCTCTTGCTCTCAAATAAATAAATAAATATTTTAAAAAATTGAAAAAAAGAACAAAAGCAGACTATCTAGATTTAATTTGCTTGGTATCATTTATATGTCAATCTACCCAAATAAATGAAGTGTTACTATGATTATAGCAATGACCTCGGTGCCTTTAAAAGAAGATATGCATATTTCCTATCTAGCTTGAAAGTGTAATCTCCAAAGGCAAGCTATTTCAAGTCTAAAGAAACACAGTATAAACAACGCACAGTGATTGTGATAATTTAATTTCAAAGCGAAGGTTGACAAGGAACGTACAAGTCTTGATTTATTAAAGTCAGCACTGGTGTTACTATACAAAGCATATTCACAAACCTCTCCAATTTACCTTATGTAACCTTTGGGGTTATGTGCTTGATAATTAGGTCAATGAAATGTTAAAGCAACCAGAAGATGCATTTCCTGAATAAAATATATACTTCAAAATAGATTTTTACAGTAACAAATAGTGTAAAGTATGATTATATATAATATAGTAAAATGACAAAATATTATTATTATATACACTCCTGATGAGACAGTATAGGGTAGTGGTTAAAAGCATGAGCTTTGGAGTCATACAGATATGGGTTCAAATCCTAGTTCTGTCACTTACTATAGTTACTTACAACTCTCTCACTTACTGGTATGAATTGGAGCATGTTACTTTACTTCTCCGAGCCTCAGCTTCCTGAAAAGTAGATTGGGGTTTGAGATTTCTACCTCATATTTGATTGTAAGAGTTAAATTAAATAATATAAGTAATATGGTATCTCTGCTGTATCTGGAAACACATCAGACACTTGAGATGCTAAATTCCTGGGTATCTCCCTGGAACACCTATGATTCCTAGTTGTTACTTAATTCTTCACTTTCCTGATCATTATTACACTAGGATAAACTTTCTGCTTCTGCTTCAGAATTTGGCTCTATATTAAAAAACCTCAAGGCAACTTGAAAAACTGCAACTTACATAAATCAAATACTATCTTTGTGCTTCAATATTCAAATGACCTTATTTATTTTCTCCCCCTGCCCACGCCATGTAGCTCACAGTACCCAACAGATAATTCTCTTAAGTTATTTAAATAAGTCACACAAGTGGGTACAAAAAAGTATCAAAGTTCCAGTTTATCTTAATAATGTTTATTAGGTCAAAATAGTGTTACTTTTGGTGGAACATTTTCTCAATCATTTGTCAAATTTAGGGAATATGAGGCATTGTTTTTGCTAGCAGGGCCAGTTGAAATTCTGCACTTGAATAGAAGAAAGACTAAGAGAAAAAACTCACCTTAGGGGATTAGATCTATCATACTATCTCTTTCAGAAAATTGCATTTTTGTATGAAGCTGAGTTCACACTTCAGCACTACCACCTGACTATAACCATAAATAAGTCACAGTTTTACAGTTTACTCATTTGTAAAATGGGTATACTGCTTAGTAAGTCCTGCCTACTTAGTAGTTTTATCTTGAGAATTAAATGTAGTTATGCATATGAAAACAGCATGTTAGAGAAAAATCAAGGATTTAATGATTAGATAGACTCGGGTTTAATTCTCAGTTACAAGGTGTGTAAACTTTAGAAAGTTTCTTAACTTTTTAACTTCAATTTCTTTCTCTATAATGGGGATAATAATGACTATTAGAAAAGATTTTCATGAGAATTTCATGATGTCATATGTGAAAAATTTCCAACAGAAAGCCCTGTCTGATACTTCTTTATCAGTATGATGTTTTGTGTATGAGGTTAGTAATAAATATTTATCGGTCACATAAATGGAGTATTTATTTAAATTTATTTCACATACATTTAACTTTAGTGGGTTAAAATATAATATTGCGTAAATTTAAAAAGCAAGAATGATTGGGTAAATGTCCATCCAGAGGAAAGAATACACTATAGATGTTATTAATATTGTTATTATCATGAAAATATATTTGCCATATATTGTTAAGGAGTGAAGAACATAAAGCAACACGTGTGAAATGCTCAATTTTTTTTAAATAAAAAATTATTTGGAAAAAATATATCTAAAAAGTATAAGGAAAGTATGGATTAGTTTTATTTTCTTTTGGTATATCTGTATTTTCTGATATGTGTGCAATAATATCTCATCGGTATAACATTCATATATCATCCATAATACAATGTGGAATGTAAATAATAAGGATAAAGAAACTGACCTCCTTCAGCTGAGCAGATAACCACAATCTGACTGAAAGGTCCATCTCCTTTATTGTTATAAACGCCAACCTTCACTTCAAAGGGAGTGAGAGGAGGAACACTTTCATCTCGATAAATGAATTTTGAAGCTTCAGAGGATGTCACCATTTTTTCCTTCCAGCCACGTGTTCCATTGGGCCTGAAAGCCACAATATAGCCAAAGCCTTCCCCATTCTGAAACTCTTCAGATACTGGCTAAAGAAGAAAAATGCAATTAATTATCAGCAGAATAACTGATTAAAAAGGCCACTTCTTCCAAACTTCATTTTATTTTTTTAATTATGGATAACCAGAGAAAAGGAGACTTTCAAGTCTGTAATGCTACCCTGGAAGCCAATATAACACAATCACTTAGTAGTCTTTGGAAACTTAAAAGGGGTTAAAAGTAAAAGGTAAAAATTTAAATAATATCAGTTGGTATTTAAGAAGAGTATCAAGGGTACTGAAAATTCTTGAAGTGAAACAAGTTTAAACCATTTAGTCATGTATATGAAAATGAACATTCCACACTAGAATGTAGCATATTGGGGAAAACTGTCATATGGTCTGGTGGTCAGAAAAATCTGTTGCTAGAAATGCTCTGCAGAGCCTTTTGTGCAGAAAAAAACAGGAAATATTAATGTAAGACCTTTTTTATAGTGTTTTCTTTTTCATCTGCTTTTGTGTTCTACTAATGTGAAAAAATTAGAAAAGAATATTTGTTCAAGTAATTGTTATACTATATGCTTACATTTAAATGTGTTAAACAAGCACAAACTCTACAGCATAGAAAAGAGTAATTGTGATTGACTAGTCAAAGGAGCAGTCACCAACCGCTACCTAGCATGATGCTTGACACATAGATACCCAATAAATACTTGTTGAAACATGTTTTTTTTTTCTTTTGAGTTTTAATTTGAGGAAAAACTGTATTGAGTAGAGGAAGAGAGACAAAGCCTATTATATCAAAGTTTTATAGACTAAGCTTTTATATCCCACCAAAATCCATATAATGAAATCCTAACCCCCAGTGTGATGGTATTAAGAGGTGAGGACTTCGGTAGGTTATTAGATTATGAGGACAGAGCCCTTATAATGGGAGTAGTGACCCTCTAGCCCCTCTGTGAGGGTACAGTGAGAAAATAGCCATCTGTTAACCATTTAACTCTTATAACCAAATATGAGGTAGAAATCTCAACCAGATGGCTCTCACCAGACTGGGATCTGTTGGTGACTTGATCTTAAATTTCTAGGCTCCAGAACTGTGAGAAATACATTTCTGTCATTCATAAGTCACCCCCAGGCCATGGTATTCTTGTTTTAGCAGCTGGGGCTAAGGCATGAAGCTACTAGGGAAGGAAGTTCTCTTTAGAGAGATTTGACCTTAGTGAAGTTCAGGTATTGGGAAGTTAATTCCTCTGCAGAAGTCAAAAATTAGAAATAAATTTTTATTGAAGAAGAGAGGGATGGACAGAATAGCAGAACAGAGTATATGCTCATGGAGGATTTCTTACTGGGAAATGTTTTTCTGTACATTTGATCATTGTTTTAGAGACTCTTGGGGATTTGTTCACTTTAGTCCAGTAGACACATTCCATCTCCTTTACATTTTCATGTTCTAGGGCACAATTCTGTGAGCTACATGTTATATTTGATAATAAGGTAATCTAACATCAATGAAAGGAGAGTGGCTTCATGGGAAATAAATGTATCTCTCACACCCCTCTTCCCTGCCTCCTTTATAGAAGAAACTTCAGAGAACACATGGTGAGAGAGACAAGAGAACACAAAGTCCCAATTCTACTGCTGATTAGGAAGAGTACTTAAACTGTGCCTCAGTTTCATAATTTTTAAAATGAGGAAAAATTATTATCCTTACTAATAGGGCTGCTTTATGGGTTAAATGAGATAACCCAAAAAAACACTGGTGGTCATTTCCTTCCTCCCCAGTGGTTTTAGCAAGGGTGCTATTTAATTGTGAAATAATTAAATGTCAAACTAAACCAAGCAAACATCTGAAGTAGTTTGTGAGAGGATGTGTTTTAATTATTCAAACTTTATTCTGAGATAACCTATATGACAGGAAGACATACTTTAGACTTGGAGAAAAGTCAACTGGGGCTGGGTATGAAATGAGACAGGTTCATGTTGGCAATACTCATCTGAGTAATATATGGTCAGAGTGTTTCTTAACCTCACTTAAGCAGAAATTATTAAGTCTCTCTGTACCAAATACAGATCCTATATATGTAGCCTTATTTCCTAAGGAATCAGCAAGTTCTGACATCTGAGTACAGGCTTTCTTACCTCCCAGGCTATGACTAGCTCATGCCTTCTTCCACTTCTTCCACTTACATTGGTGGGTGCTGTCTTTGGAACTGTGGATTAAAAATGGACCAGAGTGAGGACAATAAATAAATATTTAATTTAAGAGCCCCGTAAGAACACATTATGACCCTACTCAGGTTCTGTAAAATCCCAAAACAAACGATCAAAATTTGTTTGAAGTTAGAGTGGCCATATTCAATATTAATTAAAACAAAATGTTTGTGACAGATATCCTGCTTTCAGATCCATGTGGGAGAGTTTGATATATATTTTTCATGGCCACATAATACATTACCAAACCAATCCTCATGTAAATGCTCTGTGGTAGTAAGGCTGAAATCACAATAACGCTAAAGTTAAGGACATCTACTAATGGTTAAATTTCATTCTACAAATTGTCTCCTTTCTAATGATGTGACTCTTCTGTGGTCTCAGGGCTTGCAGAGCTCCAAGAAAGTCCACAGGTTGACTTAGTACTGTTTTACCAGAACCCCCAAATTTAAAGAAATTTGACAACAGTTCCATAGATGAGAACCTATTTAAATAAACATTAAAAAAACTATCAAGAATGAATTTCTTTGCAAACTACAAAATATGTAAGCACCCAGTGAAACTTTTTCAAATGAATAACTATTAAAGAATAAATGTCTCAAAAGAATAAATTTCTCCTTCACTGCACCAAACCACAAAATCTGCAGTTGAAAGGGAACATTTTCAAGTGAAGAACTGTTAAATTAAGAAAATTATTAAAATAAATCATTTTCCAGGCTATCAGTCTGCATTAACAATTTTACACTTCAGCGTTGCCTTTATATCCTTGCATATAGTTTTTAAGTGATATTGATATACTCATAAATAATAAATTCCCTCCCATATATTACCTACTTGGATGAAAGGCTATTAATTACTGGTAGATAGTCAAACAGCATTTTATGTACCAGAAAAACCGATGTGGAATTTATGTTCCACGAGAAAGGAAAAAAAAATTCTCCTTGCACTAGGGAGGTGGGAGAGAAAAGTCTGTGAATATATAATTGGCTCCACTGAAATAAAGACCTTTATTCACCAGGGTCCAAATTGAACAAGAGTTCTTGTCTTGCTCATGCTCATGTAGAAGGATATATATATTTATTTTTATTTTATATATTATTTTTATATATATAAAAAATTATTCACATGTGGAGTTCACTCTCATGAATTTTCTCAGAATTAAATAGAATTGGATGTTCTTTGTCTCTCATTCAAGAAATCACAAGAAATTCAACTGAGAAAAAATGGTGTTAGAACAATAACTGTGAAGATGTCCTAATTTACATAAAGAGCAAACAAATCATTTATTAACTTGAGTTTTTTATTAGTAGTCATAGTTATTGCTAAATACAGACAACCTATGACATGTTAGTTTGTTTTGACACCATGTCCCCAAACCACTGTTATATAGTTCTAGTTCTAAATTTATTTTCTGGTCCATGTATTGGTAAGGCACACAGGACTGGAGCTGGTTTAATTGTATGCATAAAAGAACAGGGATCTAAGTTTCCAAATATCCTTTCAGTGGGTGATCTCAAAGTTCTGAATGTTGTGATCATCAATGCATGGTCAAACAAATATATAAGCAAGTTAATTTGTTGACATGATGTGACTATGGCTTTTCATAGTACCATTTGTTTGTAAAAAAAAAAAAAAAGGAACACACACACACACTTCATATTCATCTCTGACAACTAACAGTTAAATAGTATTATGCATATTATCTACCAGAGCCACCTACTTCATCTATTACATTGGAATCACTAAGTTTAGTCCCTAAACTTAGGATTTTGAATCTTCTTCTCTGAGGATAATTTCCCTATGATCATGGATGTTATGGAAAGACTAGGCACTGAAGATTCTTTTCTATTTTATTCAGCTATCAAACATCACCCAAAATGAGGATGCATGGAACCTTTAACTTAGAGTTGGAGGGTAGGCTGTATGCACTCTAGTGAGTATCTCTTGAAGGTCATTTAAAAGATATGAGTAGAATAAAATACAAGTGACTATTGAAGTTGATCTTTTCTTCTGAAGCTTTGGTAATATTGTTCCACAGTCCATTAATGCTTTTATTTTTTAGAAAACATTTTTAGATTTTTCAAAATTTTTAATTTTTTAAGTAAAAAAAATGAGAAGACACTAGTAAAAAATTCGGTGAAAATTTCTACTTTGAGGAAACAAGAAAGCAAAGTAACACTTTCTATGATGTGATTTGCTTTCCTGTGGGTAATTTCATCATTGCAGTATACATAAATGACCCAGATTAGAAAATTTATTTTATTATTTGAAAGCAGTCTTTGAAGTTTTCCTGTTGCTGCTAAATTCTTTTCAAGAGAAGATAGCCCATATCAATTTAATGTAAAGAATAAGATCCTCTTTTTATCACCCTACCTTCAATTTTAATGTACAATAAATGACAAAAAAAGGCATTACAGTTCACTGTGTTTTAATAGTATATGTCTATAAACATCAACTCTTCTTTTTTTTTTTTTTAAAGATTTTTATTTATTTATTTGAGACAGAGAGAATGAGAGAGAGAGAGCACATGAGAGGGGGGAGGGTCAGAGGCAGAAGCAGGCACCCTGCCGCGCAGGGAGCCCGATGTGGGACTCGATCCAGGGACTCCAGGATCATGACCTGAGCTGAAGGCAGTCGCTTAACCAACTGAGCCACCCAGGCGCCCTAAACATCAACTATTCTTAAATTTAAAAGAGCTCACTAGATATAATAGAAACTACTAATAGAAAACTTAAGGCTTCAAAGCCATAGGAACAACCTCAGTGTCCATCTATGGATGAATGGATAAAGAAAATATAAATGCTAGAATATTATATTTAGCCATAAATGAAGGCATTCTGCTAAGTGAAATAAGCCAGACAGAAAAAAACCAAATACTATATGATCTCACTTACATGTGGGATCTAAAAAAATGGAGCTACTAGAAACAGAATAGATTGATGGTTGCCAGAGGTGGTGGGTGGTGGGTGGGGGAAATGGGTGAAGGTGGTCAAAAGGTACAAATTTCCAGTTATAAGATAAATGTGAAGTTCTGGGCATACCATATATAGTTAACAATACTGTATTATATATTTGAAGGTTGCTGAAAGAATAGATCTTAAAAATTCTTATCACAAGGAAAAAATTATAACTATGTGAAGTGATGGATGTTAAATAAATTTACTATGGAATCACGTCACAATATATACATATATCAAATCATTATGTTGTATACCTTAAACTAATATAGTGCTACATGCCAATAATATCTCAATAAAACTAGAAAAGCAAACAAACAAAAAAGAAATATTAAGGCTTTAATAGCTAGGCATCAGGCATTGTGTTTTGTTATCAGGATCACAATGTGTGCATTGGGTCCTCCTAATTGGCTTAAATTTCCTAATTGCATGCAGATGATCAGTGGAACCTGTGGAACCTATGCTGAATTCATTTCCTTTTCAAGTTATCTCTGCAGTCAATACTTCAGAGTCTACTGATTTTATTTATATCCTTTTATTTATAAAACAACGTATTCATGGTATATAGGGATTTGACAATCTTTCAGAGCCCTTGTGGTATAAAAATTCTATAATTCTTGTTAGAACCATGAAATTAATATAATCAAACATCTAGTAAATGCTTTCATTGCATTCAGAGAAATACATATTTATTGAAAAACCAAATATATTTTCAATATAATTAATGAAAACCTGATTTAGAATTAAGCAGCTAGATGCTTTTTTCCTTTGGTTGGCTACTGATAAATGTCATGAGCTCATTAGCTTATAGAATCAAGTTTACATGCATGATTAATGGGTTAAACTCTGATTCTTTTGAGTTTCTTTCTGAGCAATGCTGTTCCATAAATGGATAATATTATTAACACTTTTCTCACAAGCTGCAAATGCCTTGCTATTTTAGTGCCTTATTTGGCATATTGAAATGTAGACTATTGTCTCTTCACCTTATGCATTGGAAATATTATAAACACTCAGAGTGACCAAACATTAGTACCTTAGTTTAAGCATGCACGACTTTAAGCCTGAATCTCAAAGAACTCTAAGTATAATAGTTTGAACAAAGTCAATCATGCTAACAACCCATGCTTTAACTTGCATTAAACTAAACAAAAGAGGGGATGAAATTATTTACCAATCTCCTCTTTTTCCTGAAAAACTCTATTATCTATCACAGTAGATGTTTACACAGTTTATTAAATGATAAAGCTTTCTTAGAGACCTGGGAGAGGCCATGTAATTTAAGAGTTTAATGGTAATCCAGCGACTGGTTTGAAAAGAAAAGTGCAAAAGAGTAGGAAGAAGGAAGAGAGGTTGTTTATACAGTAATGGTGGAAGTTGAGAAGGAAATTAATAAACAAACAAATACATTTTTTCCTACCTGAATTGAAGTATTTGGCAAGCACACAAATATTTCAGTTAACTATCATTTAAGTTCATTTTAGAAGATTAGTTAAGTTTAAAGAGTTTCCAAAACAAAAAGTACCAGTGGTGTTTCCTTAAGAGTTCAAATAATGCTTTTACTCCTATCAATAAGATATATAAGGTGATATGCACAAATTGAAATGTGTTTTTGCGGGAGTAAGAAAGGTCTGGGCTTGGATCTCAGTCTTACCATTCTAGCTGGTTGGCTAAAAATATTTCTTAACTTTGTTGTCCTTCAGTTACCTAACAGAGATAATAGTACCTACTTTTTAAGGTTATTTTTCAAAATTATTTATTATAGTGCCTGGAACTATAATTTATAAATATTACCTAATGTTATCATCTACTTAGATTTCAAAAAGAAAAAATGGTGAAGTCTTCTATGATAAACATTAGGTTTGTCTTCTATGATAAACATTAGTAAAAGTCCAGCATTGAGTCTATGCATATGTAATCTTGAAAGAGATTTCGAAATCTGAATAATATTGTTTTGATAGTACCATGGGAATTATGCTTTCAGTTTCAGCTCAGCTTGTTTCAATTTGGAAATCTAGGCAATATACCATTTTGATTTATAA